CCCACCACACTCAGCACTCGGCACCTCCTGGCCACCTCGCAGCCCCATAACCTCCGGCAAGCCCTGACGGTCATCCATTCAGGCGCCAAACCAAGCGCGACCCTGCTTAATTTCCGAGGTCTGACGAGAGTCAGCTGATCGTATGGCGTCTGTTCCGACGAGTATTTTCACTTGCCACTGAACGCTGGCACACAGCGGACACCTTTAGCATCTTTGCCAAAGTATTTCTGCTGCGGGTGTATTTTGTATTCTACATGGGTAATGACTTGAGATGGGAGCATCTCGTTCGCAAGGGTGTAAATTGGGAGTGGAGATTTTAAAACGTAGGCTTTTGCGACAAATATCATCCATGAGAGGTTTTGTGGGTTAGATCGCGTAAATATAAATGTGTCGTTAAACCCGCCACCATTCATTAACTCCCCACCCACCCTCCGGCCTTCGCACGTGAGGTGCTCACAAGTGACGCCATCACATCTATCCCTCTATTGAAGGAATGAAACAGGAGGATTTCTCCACAAATCTGGTGATGATGCTAGTTGTAATTACTGGCGAAACAATGTTGTGGATTTACTCTCCAACACACCGGTGTGCTGTACTAGTAACGAATTGGCACGTTCTGTTTACGTGACAAAACTTAGTAATTGGCTGTGTCGGGTGGTGGCGGGTTTAAGGACACATTTATATATTTACGCGATCTCACCCAAAAAGCCTCTTGTGGATGGGAGTGGAGATTTTGTCAATGAAGATACGGTTCACTACCCCGAATTAACGTTTTTCATCACGTGAGATGTCAGCACGCAACGATTAGCCACCGCTCAAGGTTAAACGGCTTGTCCGAGATGTTGAGCATCACAAAGCAATTCAAGAATCAATTATTTTTCTTTTTTACTTTATATCGTGCTGACTGTATCTCGTGGCTGCAGGGGTAAGATGAATCAATTGCACGCAATGTAATATTTAAACAACATTCTTACGTCGATTCTTACCCATGTATCATGAGCATACTCAAATAATTAGGATCGATGAATCGATCCGTTGTTTTGTGAAAAACTTAGAAAAATGTCATTCGAACTGTGGCACTAACAGGAAAAATATCTAAAAGGTAACATTTAGAGTAATGCCCTTCTTCAGAGCACATTGTTACATGGTTAATGAGATGAAAGATATCTGAACAATGCAATGAGAATAAATATTCGCAAACACGAGAACCTGGACCTAACATCTTAGTTTAATGAGCTAGACTTGTTCCATCGTAGTAATGCCCTGATTACATTTTAAAGAACACTATGAAGATTAAAAGCTTTTTTCTTTTATCCGCCGCAAACAAAAATAACTTCACGTCTAAAAATTAAAGCCCCACTCTGTACAATGGTAGCCGCTTTAAACAAAAAAAACGAACGCTTTGTTCCTCGGATGTTCCGCGTTTAGTTTAACACCTCTCACTTAAGAGTGCATTTCCATTCCGATAACGTGTTGTGTTTCATCCGGCTCCTTTTCCCGGGGGGGCCTCGTCTCGAGCACCCTTGCAATTCCCAACGTGTATCGACACGTTTCATCCACCTCCACCAACGCTCCATGGCACACGTGGAATGACAATACGCGAACACGACGATTTGTGTAAACGAGTCGACACGCCAACAATGGCGATTGGCAACCCAATGATTGCTTTGCGCGTTGTCCCGCCGCGCTCACAATGCTCATCCAGCGCATCCAAAGTTGCACGCAAGCTTTATGCCCGCATCAATCACGAAAAGCGTATCCCGCAACAAAAAACCCAAGACCGTAAGCTTTTTTTGAGATTTACCGTATTTACTGGAACAATTTTGACGGCTTTCAAAAATAATCTGCCTCTCAAGTGGTTTATTTTTTTGTCGCCCAATGTTAAATGGCCAATTTGCTGTTTCAGTGCACAAATGTGCCGGGCCTCTGCCGCGACCAGCACGTGATGGGGCTAATAGAAATGCACTCTGCAACTGGAAGGGCCTCCCTCCGTTCAGTCGGCACGCCGGCACATCGATCGCATCTCTTGCCGCGGAATTGTGGAGGTGGGGTTAAACCAGCTGTGCCTCTTATCCTCCGTGATCCACCTCTGTGTGCTTTGTTAACAACGATACGGTTGTGTTTCTTAGATGTGGTGCAGAACGCCAACAACACAGTGTATGATATACCGTCTGAATGCAACCGCATCTAAAGACGCTTTTATCATCATCATCGGCCATGATCAATCCTTCCCCGAGCCGTTGCCATACCTGATGCAACAATAAACACTTCACACAACCGCGACATCAACTAGGTTAGAGCAAATAAGGATGGGAGTGTGATAGGGAAATAATAATCTCACACACGGCACTCCCAAGTAGGAATAAATTCCCAACAACACAACAAAAGCTGATATTATCTCCACTCGCAATACAGATGAAGAAATACAAAACCAATAATAATGATCATAACAATAGGTTTTCAAACTAGATGTAAAAGTGCGGACAGTCACAATTTCTGACATAGGGATAGCAGCATACCATGGTGTTGGTGTTTCGCAGCAGCATGCACGATTATCCAGCAGCGTTCGACTCTTTGACGCATGTACGTCGAACTTTCGCACCGTACGTAGCCAGCCATGCTAATCGAAGGTGCGGGGGAAGGAACTCCAGGGAGTGTAAATAGCGAGGGGGGGAGTGCAGCGTGAGAGAGAGCGGTTCACCGAGGTAATCAGGAAACATGGGAGAGAGGAGAGAGACCGGCACTGCGGCACTGTCCTGAATGAAGAAACAGGGACAGCTGGAGCAGCCAGGGCCTCAGGGACAGCTGGATCAGCCAGGGCACCACACCAGTGAGTCCCACGGTATCCTCAGGGAGCCAGGCCCATCGCAAATCTCAGAGCAGTGGTTAAGCAGCGGACGGCTGTCCGCTCTGCAAGAAGGAAATGACGATGAGTACCTTCCACATTAGATACAAATGCCGAGGCTGCATGCATTACCGTTTTGTACAGCGCTGAGTTGCCACAGGAAAATATATATTAGTGCTTCAATGTCAAAATAACTAAAGCCTGCCTCGTTGATACCACATCAAATTGTTCTCCCCTTGATATCATTAGTATAGCAGGAGTATGCGTACAACACCTATCTGATTGGCGTGTTATGATTCGCCTTCACTTAAGTCACAGCTCGATGAAAGTGAATGTTCTTTGTTGGGAAATTTGTACCGCCTGCTTTGAACCGGCTCATTCTGATGTGTTTGTGTTGTTCTTTTATTTACGTTCGCCTTGAAGGTAACATTTCAATGTAATTTGTCTAAATTTAAAAATGTATTCGTACGTTTTTTCTGAATAGCGTTCCACACATCTACTTATGAACAGACCTCTGGAACCGAACTCGTTTGTAAAAAGAGGATTCCCTACAATCCTTCCCAACAGGCCATTGAATATTGTCAACGCTATTAGTTCCATATTCTACAGAATGTCAGCATTCAATAAATGTATTTAATTCATGTGTATTGAGATTATAGTGGAGGGGCATCAATTAAAGGAATTGCCCTGTAATTTAAGACCCGTTTTTTTGGAGGGTACGTTCGGATTAAGACAGTAAAAATGCTTGCGCATTTAATGCTCAGTTCGTATTTTACATTTACTCGCTTTAGGCCAGACGCAGATCAAGGAAATTTCATTCTCGGCCGACATCGGGAAGAGCGACCTGGAAGTGAAGGTGCGGAAAATCCAAGAGTGGGTGCTGGAGAAACGACACCACGTGAGGGTCAGCATCAAGAACACCAAGAAGAAATCTGACACCGATAAAATGGTCAGTTGTGTTGGTCTAGCGATTTTATTTTTTATTTTCTTCCATTGTTGCGGTAAACCAGAAGTCTGCAGCAATTAACCCTTGACCTTTCCGAGACGTCTGCAAATTGCAGGGTGGGTTTCCCTTTCACCGCCGAATCTCTAAACGTGCAAGCGGTACAGCATTAATTTTATTTATAGGTGTTACCTACTCACTGCAGAGAACTGTTGCGACACTACCACACTCTATGGTAGCTGGCGCAAAACTGTGCCACGTCCTCCCGCATAACCTTCCGATTCCGTTCTGATAACGCACACGTGCGTTACATGTTTGGAACGTGTGGGCACTCTCCCTACAGAATTTTGAACACTTACCCAGTGTTGAAACCACAATGTTACCTCTCCGAATGTGGACTAAATGCCACTGCTAAAATCAAGATATAGTTCACAAGCGCATAAAAATGTAAGGCTTGGAATACGACGACGATTACGATGCTGGCAAACCCTTCTCTCAATTCAGTTGGCGATGGCAGGATCTGTGCTGGAGCCCATCGCAGACAACGCCACGTACGTGTCCGCGCCGCGCGCAGTCAACGACGGTGCCACCGTCACGTGCATCCTGCGGCACATGTCGGAGCGCGAGCGAGCCGAGCAGCGTCGCAAGCACGGCGCGGACGGCGCAAATGCGACCAAGAACCAGCCGAAGAGGGAGGCTCACAAAGGGCCAGAGGTGGTGGCAGCGCAAGGAAGGGAGGCGTCTGGAGAGGAGGCCGACAGCCCGGCTGCTGGTGGAATTGGCTCAACAGCACAGGAGCAAGCCCCGGAACAAGCCCAGGAGCTTGCCAGCCAGAACACACCGCGTGAACCCAAAGATGGGAGATCCTGACTCTATTTAAAAAAAAAAGGTGCAATATTTTTCCACGTACGCAGATTATTCTGAAAGCGTCGCTTAAAGTATAATTGAAACTGTCCAGATTCCACCTTTCGTTACTCGTATGACCTTGCAATTGGTAACAAGTCTCTCTTGGGCTTTGATGGGTTGTCTTTCCGCACTTTTTGTTTGCACAATTACTCTCTTGATTTGCGGCCAAATTTACTCAGAATGTCACTTAAGAGAAAAAAATGTTGTACTTTTACTATATGTAACTTTTGTCCAATAAAAAAAATTGTCCAGTCGTTACGAATAGCTTCAGAAGTTGATTTATAAAGAACAAATAATCTGCAGAACAATCTCTACTTTCATGTTTATTCACTGCAAGTGGACAAGGGAAATTTGAAACAAAAAACATTTACTGCACTACTTATGCAGTATTCAGAAGATAAATTGTGAAAAAAATATAACAGCTAGGCATGTGCAAATGTACAAGTTCTGTTTTGATTTACAATGCAGGCATGCAATTACATATTACACAGCTGTAGCCATTAACGTGTATTCACAAGTACCTTTTGAACACAGTAACTCACCCAGCTGGAAATGCAATTTGGCTTCAGACTCGAATACATAGCGGGTTTTCAAATACATAACAAAATTAATGCAAAGCACACATTATTCGTTTAAATTAATATTACCTTTATTCATATTGACGGTGATGTATATGCCCACTTTCAAGATGCTTACATGACCAGAAAGCTTTGATTTTGTAGCGTACAAAAACCACACGCCCAAGGGGTTCACTCCTCACATGGAGGCTTCATTGTCAATCTGGTCTTCGATTGGCGATATTTGCAGCCTATCGACTTTGCAACCAATCGGAATCGGACCACCTCGTTCGTCTCTGCTACACATTTTAATGACGCTATTTCTCTGCAAACCAGAATCTGCTTCGACTGTGTCAATCTCGGAAGTAAGCGCCGTTTCGTTTCCCTCGTCAGGCACGATCGCAGCACCGCCGTCCACCCCGGGTGCGGACGGAGCGTCCGGTGACCGGGCAGCCGCGTTTGTCTCGCCGCATCGCTCCTCTGTGGGGTCGCGAGAGCCGCAGCGAAGGCCAGCTGTTTCGGGCGAGCAGCAAGGAGGCGGGGAGCCGATGCTCGCCTTGCCAAACAGAATTTCTGGCAATTCCCCGTCGCATGCTTCCATCTCCAACACCGCCTCGGAGACCACCGCGGTGTGCCGGATCCCACTGAGCCGTGACACCAGCGTGCGTCTCCGACAAGAGCGCTTCTTCTGCAGACGTCACGAGGAGGATTACGTGATTTTTTTTTCTCTCCGTGTAAGGCATATACAGTGTATGAATAAACAATGGCGATGATTGTTGAACGATAACTTACTTTGAGTTTCTTCTTTTCGGGATCGTGCATTACCCCATGACGGTCCAAGCTTTGCTGTAAAGGCAAGGTTTGTGACTTGACAATGAAAAATGTAAACACTCGTAACACTGGCTGTGATGTCAGCCTCTATTTTGCAACAGGTGAATAGAAGCAATCGTAACTAAATTAACAAAAATGCTCCATTCAGTTTTCACGTAGCACTGCGATTAATCCGCAAAATCTTAAAAATCATTATGCACCGGCCTCATGTAACTGAAACCGATTTTCATGTGGTTTGTGGATCATTTCAGCATAAGCAAAAACGTAGTTTATTGGGCAAATTCTGAACCTTAAACAATCTTTATATCTTTCACTTTGTTGGTGGTTCTGTTTCGACTTCCAAAAATGACACGAATGCCATCTCATCACTCGTGTAAATCGTAGACTTTAGATTCACCTTCATAGCAAATTTTCGTCCGCAGCCAGGATAAGGGCAGCTGTGTGGGCGCACGTTTTCATGGAAGGAGATCAGGTGGGACCGCAGGTTGAACGCCGTGGTGTAGGTTCGTTCGCAGCCGGGGTTCGGGCAGGCGAACACCTCTCGCGACTCGGCATGCGTTTGCTCATGCTCGTGCAGAAATGCCCGTCGTTTGAACGTCCGCCCGCACTCGTTGCAGACGTGACAGCCTGCGACGCACAATTGAATCGTCCACCCCTTTTGCTGCTGGAACATCCGAGCCACGCAAACCCGGGGCGTCCTCACGGCTAAAGATGGGTTTTCCCACCGGACATTTTCTGCGACGTTAGTCGGTGCACACTAATTCCCAACAATTGTGCCATGGAAAAAAACAGCCCGATGCCTCGCGAGCCATCCTGGGCTGGCTCGGCATGGCCTCAGCCCAGCTCAGTTGTACAGTGGACAAGGGATAACCTTGTAACCGAGGTCAGAGTGTTATCAGAATTATGTAGGTGTACAGCCCTTAGTCAAGCCGATGTTGGCGGCCTTCCCACACAGTGATGGTAGGTTATTTAACCATATTTTAACCACGCTGCCCACTCTGGGTTGAAGATTTGAAGATAAGCGTAGATGTAGGAACATATGCGTAGAGTACAACAGTGTATTATTGCTGCACTGCCACCATGCACTAACCAGCATGAAGAGGCCTTCATCTAGCAGTGGATTGACATAAGGGATGTAAATAATTTAAAAAATGAGACGTCACGGACCTGGATGCTGCTGTGCTGCGTGTGATCGCACCTCGCTCCAGGTTTTCGCAACAAAGTCACAGCCTTCCCTTTTGCACGTATAACCTGCACAACAAAAATATAATCAGGGGAAGTAATACACAACAGCTGCTACAGACATTCCAACAAGCTCACCGAACCTAAACGTTCCAGCACTTACCCAAGTGGGTTTTTTCATGTCTCTTGAGTTGCCTTGCCTGAAGGAATTTCTGTTCACATCCGCTGTGGGGGCACCTGTTTGGGATAATTGGCAAAGATGAAATGCCTGTGCCAAAGGACGTCAACAAACGATTTACCGTGGGTTTTTTCCCCTTCAATACCATGACAAATACGTGGCAAAATGCATAGATTTTTACATATTGTAAACAATGTAACGGGTAAAAAAAAACATCACTTCTGACATCCGTGAGCAAAACTAAATTCTGAAATAAGTTCAGACGGGAACATCTTTAATGTTTTTTAGGGGATCAATAAAAACGTTAAAACAGGGAAAAATTACTATAATTGTGTCAATGGGGTTTTTTTTATTACTTAAAATGTAATGTTAAGACATGAGTAAAAATACAGTTATCATCAGACTATTATAGTACAAATCTTATGACAACCACTGGTGACTTCATGGTAACTGGCAAGCAAACTTGAACTCGGAACAATATTTTAAACACTGCATATATCTTTCAACGTAACAGTTTTGCAGATGGGAATTACATACTCAAAGGGCAGCTCCTTTGTGTGTTCATACTGATGAGTCTTCAACTGCTGGTGCTTTTTGAAAACCTTGCCGCAGCTGTCAAATTCGCACTGACAACAAACGCGTGAACATTACGTCACTGAAATTCACATTAATGATGTAAAAAAACAACTGCCGTGTATCAAGACACGAATGGACACCCATATATGTATAAGACATGCTCACTTTGTACGAGGGATTTTCCTTTTCATGTTTTCGTTTCACGTGCTTCTTTAAATTGGCGTTTGTGGTGAAGCCTTCACAGCATCCCTCGAACACACATCTGCACGGCAAGCAGAGAAGGCAATTCAATGCACCGACAGTCCAGGTAAACACGCAGTGGGTGTTTTCACCAGCATTTGTAAGTTCAATCTTGATTTGAAGCTTTCGTGACTGCAGGAATCCATACTCTTTTGGTTCTTTCGGTAAAGTCACGTAGATAGAAAAATAATACTTCACGACGTTTCGATCGCAACACAAGCGACCATCATCAGGTGAAACAAACACAGCAGGAGAACTGCTGACGTAGGAGAAAGTTTGTAAGTTGTCTGTCTTGAATTTCACAAATAAACAAAAAAGGTTTGCATCAAAGTGCCCCAAAACATATATACTACTTAACATGTTGAATATAATTATTATATTGCAGATGCGTACCGGATCTTTTTTGTCAGCGAATGAATCTCACGGTGTGGTTTTGTTCTTTTAGCCAAAAGAGATATGTCGGTATCATTTCCACAAATATAATTAATTCTTAAACACGACTCGATGCATGCATTGTACGCATAAGAATTTATTTTCATAGATACACCATTAGATGCCTACCAATGTGGACCATATTGCGTACGTGTTGAGATAAACCATGACCTCTTTCAAGTGGCCTAAAAGGACACACCTTGACGAGAACACCCATGAACATGTTAACAATTACGTATGCAATTCATCATGCATTCCTGAAGCACAGGGCAATACACACGTACCATCTCAAGTTAATAATATAATTTCATTTCCAGCCACGGTTTGTTATCGTTAAGGTCGGTTCCTATGTATGGAACTCGTACAAAGAAAAAATAAATGAAACTTGCCGAGTTTAAACGAGTGAAATCGTAGACAGAACACGACCTGAGCGAGTGCATGCTGTGTACACGTGACTGCACAGTTAGAGCAACACGTGACTGCACAGTTAGAGCAACACGTGACTGCACAGTTAGAGCAACACGTGACTGCACAGTTAGAGCAACACGTGACTGCACGGTTAAAGCAACACGTGACTGCACGGTTAGGGCAACACGTGACTGCACAGTTAGAGCAACACGTGACTGCACAGTTAGAGCAACAGATGTGGAGTGATGTGTTGGTCAGGACCACGAAGATTCTGCAGCTAGCACCTCCGATTAGTGTACCTGTCAACCCATACGGTTTACCCGTATTCTTGTACAGGGAAATTGAGTTTTCAGGTCCATACGGTGTACAGCCGTTTCAATACGGGCAAAAAAAAGCCCTGTGTTTCTAGCTTGTGATGGGGACTTTGTAGGATGAACGTTGAGATGTACCAGGACACGAGGTGACCAATGAAGTCTGCATTGGTCTGTAATGGTGTAGGCACTGATAAGGGGTGGACAGGTATAGATTAGCGCGGTTGGCTACGTAAGGTGCGAAAGAAGTTCAACATACGTACATCGCTGCAGCAGCAGCAGCAGCAGCTTTGATTTCCCTTGGTGTACTAGCGTGGCTGCATTGTCCTCCCGAACATAAATAAAGATGTAAAAATAAATATGTGCATGCGAACGGAGTGTGTCAACGAATCCGTTACCGATATGGCCTATCTCCCGAGTGAGTCAGCCTGTGCCTGGACAGGTGAAATTTCCTCGTAAATCCCTTGGTACAGCCTTCATAGTCGCACACAAACGGCATCTGGAGTAACACAAGAGATATTTTGATTGGTTTTTTAAACGAGAGTTAAAACAGCATATACTTGAAACGCATGTATTTCTGTACGAAATTTAAACAAAAACAACAGTATACTGTGACAGAACGTTTCATGAACACAAACTTGTGATCTCCAATAGAAAATAGTCAGAAACTGCTTCGGACTGACAGAAAGAGTCATGGGAGGTCTGATGTGATATTAACTAGCCTGACAATTTCTGACAAGCGCCTCTGCAAGCCTCTTACAGCAACGTGATTTGAACACATTTCCTGTTAAGTATTAAAGGTATAGTGCAAATAACAGTCCATATTTAGAAGGTCCCAGGGGGAACTTGTATAAAATACTCCTGAATATGATAATCGCAGATGTTAAGATACACAAAGTTAAATATACAGAGGGCCTGTAAAATATTGTAATATTTGGTAATACTGCTTTGGCATCGTCCTATTATGGGCCACCGTTCAAAACGTCTCCGATAACATACAATTTTCCTTTTAACGCAGCATTGGCAAATGTTGAGTATTTATTAATTAAATATTGTGTCCAGTGTTTGCCTCTTCAGGCCCTCGTACCCGAGCCAGTAGTAGGAATTCCATATTCTCATGGCGAGGGCCATCGCTTCCATTCGGAAAACCAATGCTGTCCTAAACATCAAAAGGATCAATCTTACTTTAGAACAGATGGGGAAGACACGCGTAATAAACTACCCATGGGTAAAACTTGATTTGGCGCTTTCATGACTGCAGGAATTACTCTTCTACGTGGTGGTGACTTTACCGAAAGAACCAAGAATATGAATCCCTGCAGTCACGAAAGCTTTAAATCAAAGTAGGTTAACTGATAAAATCCAGCAGCTCGCCTATGAATTCCATTCACTCGCTCACCTGCCGTCAGGCGCCACCTTTATCGCTCATATCGCTACTACACATAGCCGCAGATATATACAGACCCTAAGTAGAGGGAATTAACACAGATACAACAGATACACCAGGGGATACAGAGAGATTTAGTGTGCTCCTCCGTCTCTCTCAGTATCCCCTGGTGTATCTGTGTTAATTCCCTCTACTTAGGGTCTGTATATATATCTGCGGTTGTGTTTCCTCTCTCTCTTAAATTTAGCTCTTCTGTACCTGATGATGATTGCTTGTGTTGCAATCGAAACGTCGTATGCTATTATGTAATTTTATTATTTCTTATTTCTACGTGACTTTACCGAAAAAAATCCAAAGAGTAATACCCATGGGTACACATGCCCGGCCCTTTTGTTAACGCACGACTGAATGATGGCTAACTCACGTCATACGGATGGTGGGGGTTACTTCGCCATACTTCACCACGCCAGTCCGTGGGCAATGAAGGCGTGGAGAGCAGCGGATGGAGCAAAGGAATTGCTGCACTGCCCTCTGCTGTCCACTAAGTAGCACCGCCGGCGCAGATTGCACCCTTGTTATATACGTGGCCAGCCATCCCAAGGACTGTCCAGGCGAAGACCTGCTTATCTTATGTCAGCAGCAGCAGAGGGAAGTGCAGCAAAAATCCATGGTTGTACTGTACTTTCTATGCCGCCAGTACTCCCCGCTTTCACCAACCCACTAACCAGCGTGATGGATAAATGGAAATTGGCGTAATTGTGTTTGGGTGGCAGCAATTTGTTTGTACCGCTTTCTGGCGGTACACGTGGAATCGCGTTGAACTTTGTTCCACTGCTGTGTAACTGTACAGCGCAGTTTTGACAATGGGCCTGCAGTCTTGGGGAAACATGGCCGAGGTTTGGTTTCGTTGGAACGGGTAGCAACCGCAGTGGTGAAGTATGGTCACGCAACCCGGCACTGCAGCGTGGAAGAGGCCTTCATCCAGCAGTGGCGAGAGGCGTGCTGGCGCCCAGACACTCCCGACTCACCAGGCCCTCGTGCCGGTACAGATGCTCCATGAGGCGCCACTCCTTGGAGAAGGTGGCCGAGCAGCCCTCGTGCGAGCACAAGTAGAGCTTCCCCCGGACACTCGCGGCGACGGACATGATGTGTTTTTTTTATTTTTCTCTTTTATAATCAGAGTGTAAGTTTGACGGCAAACAAAAATGAAGAAAAAGCCGCGCGCAGGCCGTGCCGAACACGTGCTCGGAGAGAGGGGGGAGGCGGAGCGAGGTTCTCGCCTTGCGATTGGTTCTAGCCACACCACGTGACCGGCTCCGTGACAGTAAGTGCTGCCAGCTTAGAGGTTTTTTTGTTTGTTTAAACTACTAAATGTAAAACTTATTTGTAGCATAATAATAATTAGGGGTTTTACCCCTTTATTTTGTGGCAACAAAACCGAAACCTTTTTTTACAAGGATTCATGTCTGCATTAACCACAATACCTGCAGTCAAAATGCAAACTAAAAAATACTATGATAATACATGCATTGTCCTTGAAACTGATTGGTCCACAATCAATTTCAAGGACAATGGTCCACAATCAATTTCAAGGACAATGCATATATTATCATAGTATTTTTTTGCATTTTGACTGCAGGTATTGTGGTTAATGCAGACATGAATCCTTGTAAAAAAAAGGTTTCAGTTTTGTTGCCAGAAAACAAAGGGGAAAAACCCTATTATTATATTTTGTAACTGGCAAAGGAGGTCTAATGATGTAGTTATTCGTAGCAGTCAATACGTAACGGCTTTAAAAACCCCGTGTTTGCAGGTCCATGCGGCGTACAGGCCTAACAATACTTGTCTTGCAATTACATTTATTTCTACGTTTCTTTACCGAAAGGACCAAATAGTAAGGTCTGAGTTGGTCTGTAATAAGGTAGGGGACTGATAAGGGGTTGACATGTTTGTGTATTTAATATACCGGATTATAAGACGCACTATATATTCCCTTCCCTGGGCAGCCACTATATCAAAACTAAAAGTTAGGAGTGATTTTTGTTTAATAATCAGGATAAGTGACCAGATGTGTCTAGGGTTATTCACGCCAACGACTCAATTTTATCATAATTGCATGTTTATTTTTGTCTTTGAATTCAGTGTAAGTAAAAAAGACACGTTTAAAACGTTAATTCGTGTAATTTGTAAACATCCCATCCGCATTTTCGCAAAATTCTGCCCTGAAAGAAAAACGCATATTCAAAAGGCGACGTTTCGGGCAATGACCCTTCATAGCACTGGGAGGCCAGATATATGGAATATACAGTATGAGGTGACTGCTCTATACTCCATGGGTCCCCAAATAGAAATTAAGAGCGAATTAACTTTTTAATGACTTCCAAAGTTTACATGAACAGAGGGACCAGCAACGAACGGCACTCTCGGCACAGTTGTAGGATAAACACTTTTATTCAATTGAGCAAGGTTATAGAAGAGCTTGGGAATAGCGACGGTGGGAGGAAAGAGACAGAAAGATTAAGACATTTAAGCCTCTGTCACCTGCAGCGTTGGTCAATCACGGCAACGGTAACCGTGGTAGTAGCGATATGAGCGATAAAGGTGAGCGAGTGAATGGAATTCATAGGCGAGGTGCTGGATTTTAAGCTTTCGTGACTGCAGGGATTCATATTCTTGGTTCTTTCGGTAAAGTCACCACGTAGAAGGGAAACAATAAAATTATAAAAATATAAAACAATAAAAAAAATTCTCACGACGTTTCGACCGCAACACAAGCAATCATCATCAGGTGTGAAACCCACAGCAATAATTTTTTTAAAAAGTGGCGGTTATCTTGCTGTGGTTTTCACACCTGATGATGATTGCTTGTGTTGCAGTCGAAACGTCGTGAGAATTTTTTTCTTTTATATTTTTATTATTTTGTTTCCCTTCTACGTGACTTTACCGAAAGAACCAAGAATATGAACCTACTTTGTGTTGAAGGGCCGTTGGCCGAAAAGTCGCCTCTTGAATTTGTGTTAAATATAATTGTCATGGCAGCGTGTGTTGTCATTGTATGTTGAACTTCTTTCGCACCGTACGCAGCCAATCGTGCTAAACGGATGCGGCGCGGGGGAAGTTTAGTCAACCATTGGCTCATGCGCTGACCGAGCTGTGTGCACCACTGCCCAACAACAACAAAGAGCAGCCGCCGTTCGCCACGATGCGCTCGTGCCAGGCTAGGTGCACCTCGAGGTGCCCCCCAACGCGTGCGAGCGCGCGCGCGTCACGTGGTGGTGTGACGCGCGCGCGTAGCGGCGGCGCGGCGGCACGTGACTACGTCTCGGCCGAACGCACAACAAGCGGCGAGATCGCTCCCGGCTTTAATCCTTCGCGCGTTTGCGCCTTCGCCTCGGCTTTAGATTCACTGTCGAGGAGAGTTGTGTGTGTGTTTTTTTTATTTTAAATCACTCACGTTTTTGCGACGATAAAAAAGTGAAAGTCCCGTCGGCGTTTTAGAGTAGGCCGCGCTTGAAGCCGCGGCCCGGCCTAGTTTCTCTGCGGACTGTAGGTGCCCCCCGTGCCCGGCGGAGATGCAGCCCGCGGAGTCGCCTTAAGTGGCTTAAAGAGACGTTTTAAATACATTTAATACGGCTGTTATGTGGGGAGCTTGTGTCTAGCCGAGAAATAACTGCACTAATGGACGAAGCCGAGCTCGAAAGGTGATTTTATTTCTAACTCGAAGGTTGTGCCGTGCTGGGTCGATAAATGGAATTGCAATTGCTGATTTAGCGGGGGGGGTTCGTAAACATGATGTGACTTTATAGTCGTGCTGAAGTTCATTTTCCCACGTAAATAATCATGCACAGCCCATTGTAAATCCACTGCTGGATGGCAGGACTCTTCCACGCCGTGGTGGTTCGTGGTGATTGCTTAACCGGACCATGCGGAACCCCGCTGGCCGGTGGGTGATGGTGAAGGTGTTGTTGGGTGAGGTTGGGATCTCACGCGCCACTGATGTCAGCCGTGGACAAGGAGCATGGCTAAATTAGTATTGCGAACCGCGGACCACTTAAATCACCGCTATCCCACTGGTGAAATTCGCCAAATGTCCCAATGCAGAACCAGCCTCAATAATAACGTTTCGTATTGAAGAAAACTTTCGAGAAATTAAGAGTATTAAGACTGTGAAGCTTTCCTGGATAACAGGACAGTACCGTGTTGTGTTTTCACAGTGCTTGTGATGTCACTGGATCATGACTTCAGTATAGATTACTTCAACATTACTAACAAAGATAAATGATTGAAGTAAAAAAAAGTGCCAATATGTGGATAGTCCACAGTGGTTACCATATACTCTAGATAATCTGATCCCTGCCCTAGGAATGAGGAATTTCCACCACTGGCTCAACTCTGCCAGCATATGTGAACTTTGTGCCATACTCGTTCAGCGTAGTTCATAATATATATGACCTAATGTTTTTCAAGACAACGTTTGGATGAGTACTTGATAAATAAGGATTTCGGGATGTATTGCCGTAACATGCGTGGCCCTTTTTTCTTCAATATTTTAAGGCTTGCCAGGGAAGAGATTCTACAAGAAGCAAATCGGGGCAGAGTGCGAGCAGAGACTATGGGAACTATGGGCTGGTGAGTTCATCATGGGCTTATAAAACATACTTTTACACTTGCCACACTTAATGGCTAATGTGCATCAAGAAATGTATTTTCACCAGTGAAAAGTGAGATTTCGATCCGTTTTAAATAAACTGCTTTGACTTGTGGGCTTTGTTGACCAAAACAGTCGAACCTGTTGCATTTCAAAATGCATCACTAAACGGGGGCTTTTGAACTTATGACAAAAAAATGGAATTTCCCTAATTTTTCTTCCAATTGTGCAATTGGCATGTCAAAACACAAAGAATCAAGTTGGATCTCTAGCACAGCAGTACAACCCCTAGTGTTTTCGGGAATGGCCCACGGAATATGATATCACAGTGTTATTCATAAATGTTTTTGGGTTATATCGCATAAGTATAAATGTGTCGAAACCCTCCACCACCCGACACGGCCAATCAGTAAGGGATTTGTCACAAACGAAACGCCAAATAGTTACAACTTCAGCCCACCGGTGTGTTAAAGAGTGGCAAATCGCCCGATGATGTTGGATGTAATTACCAGCGAAACGTCGTACTCTGATTGTAAATGTTGTGGATTCACTCTTCAACACCGGTGGGCTGAAGTAGTAACTATTTGGCGTTTTGTTTGCGTGACAAATCCCTTACTTATTGGCTGTGTCGGGTGGTGGAGGGTTTCGACACATTTATACTTACGTGATCTAACGAAAAAACATTATGAATAATACTGGTCGCGAAAGCCTACGTGTTAAACTATCACAGGGTTACCTACGAGATTCCTTTAGTGATCACTGTTCCATACAACAGAGGGCAGCACTTTCCTACCTGCTCTAGGAATGAGTGTTATTTGTCACATCATGGTTAGACTAATATTTGTATTCTCATAACGGGAATATTACCAAATTAGTGCAGAACCAAATGTAATGTCACTTTTTGTTTTTATGCATTGGAGACCAAGTTCAGATCAACAACTCGGTACACTTGAGAATCTGTGTAATCACAGGCAGCTATCTGGATACAATTCCAGTCTCAGTGGAGCCAACTCAGCGCTCTGAGCTCTGAGAGACATGTCTATATCTTTACACTTGAATATTAGATTGATTGTGATGTTCGAAAACAGGGCCTTCTATTAACATGTCTTTCAAAGATCCAGGTTTAAAACCGTCTTCCACTATTAGAATTACCTGTGCTGCAGCAGCTAATGCAAAGACTTCAAATTTGCACTGGTATTCACTGTTCCAGGCAAAAGTGCCCCCTGCCTGCCACCAACAAGCGCTTCTTGGTGAACACGCTACGCGGTGCACTGATGCCCCCACGCAGCCGGGTAGCGTCCTCGTCAAGAGACCACGCCAGTCGTGAAGACACTTCCAGCCCACCTTCAAAAAGCCCTGTGCAGGGACACAAAGAGGAGAGCCATGATGACGGAGCAAGAGAGAAACATTTAAAGGAGAAGACCAGGAGAAGGTATGGTTTTAAGCCATACCAGAAGCCCGGGGAGACACATCATAGCGGCTCAATGAAGGAGAAAATGTATGAGCACAATAGCACTGATGAAGTGGTGCAGACTAGCAAAGGCGAGTTTCGTAAAGAACGGTAGTGCCGTGCTGTTTGATTACTGCATCAGCCATGCTGTTACTGCATGCACTGCACTGCTGCACTGTGCTTTGTGGCTATAAACTGTTCATGTTACCAATATCATTTGATGTGACCTTTCTTTAACATAGGGAATATCCTTTTGGCAACTTTAACCTCACCTCAGGATTTAACACAGGGTTTGCACAATGTGATTATCAAACTGATAAATGGCAATACGGTATATTAAGTTTAAATGTGCTTTTTCCTATAAGAGGTGCTGTGGCACAGTGGTTCGCATACTTCGCTATGATCCTAGCAATACGAGTTCAATTTCCTGCCACAGCTAATATCAATGCTGTGTGATATCTGAATTGGTCCTGGTTCCTGTCCGTTGACGAATTTGAACGAACGAACATGGTGAAAAATGGTAAAACAACCCCCATGATTGACACGGCATGGGGAAGCCTTCATCCGGCAGTAGATTGACAAAGTGCTGTGAATAATTATATTATATTCCTATTAATTAATGATATTCCTACTAATTAATGTCACATTCTCTTGATTAATAGTGTCTACCAATAATTGTACTTACATTTTAAAAACATAGGAAAAGCAATACAAAAAGCAATATGAACATTCAACCATGAATGGGTCCAACGGTGTTTGTTAAATGTTTGTGGAAGTTCTCTTGCCATGAGGCAACCCAACAGCATTTTATTTTACAGGCCACTATGCTGTTGGGGGTCAGAAAAGTCAAATCTGGTTCAGATGTCCCTGCAGGTTAATGAACCCAATTGTCACTTTATTTTTACATGCAAAAGCATACACACGTTTTTTTCTCAGTTGATATAGAAACAGTTCTGCTGCACAAGTCTTGTATGCCTGATATATAATCTTCCAATGGCATTTACTGGTGTAATACGTAATGTGTATATAACATTAAAATGAGGTTGATTAGAGGTTTATACCAGTGGTGGGGGCCCTTTATCTTATGGAGAGCTGAATAGACTTTCTAATTCCTTTCGCCGGTGGCACATTAACACACTTCAGTCACTTTCTGTTGCTGTAAGAGGCCCTTGAGGTAAGAGAAGTGACTTAAGTGCACTAAAATTAGAAACACTGTTGCCCAGGTTGAAAATATTTTGCACGAGTATCGATTAATGTGGCTAATATGCTTGCACAAATATCGTCTACAGGCCTCTTCAAATGGTGCAAGTCGCGTGGCCTCATGTATGAAATTAAGTTGCTGGGCGTATCCGGTCCATGGCACGTGGGTTCCCCATCCCTGGTACATGCATTACAGTTAAGTGTTTCCAGTTGTAACAATAGTCAACTACTGTGTGTAACTTTGAAGATCATTCCTTATTATTGGAATGTGCACAGTTTGTGTGTACGTGCTGTGGGCGACTAAACAAAAGGGAGCATTGGCTCAAACAGATGCTGTGGATTGCCTCTTCACTAGATGGCAGTGCAGCATAGGCTGTGAACACAATAAAAATAAACCCTTGACTATACTGCCCCAAGGAAACTCTTTTTATGTAAAGCATGTAAGTGCCACTTGAATTGCTAACGCAGTAAGTTTTCTGTTAACAAACATGTGTTAATGTTGTTAGTCGCCTATGCCAACCTTTTAGTCTTAATTGTAAATATATTCTTAGAGTTTGTTTGGATACTCGTGTTGATATTGCAGTAATGTGTGTGTTGAAAGTGTGGAGTATGTATTGCCTTACCTTATCACTGGAACACATGTAAAAAAATGTTAACGTAATAAATCCGTTGCCTTCCTGGTTGAGAGGCTTGCCATTCATGAGACGGTGTGATTATTACATTACAAAAGCTTTTGTGTATGCCGCGTAATACAGCACATATCAAAACTGGTACGAAAGCCACCCTTTAACAACTTGTACTTGCCAGCATTGTGAAGTATGGTCAGCCAAACACTGACACATGCCTTGGGAAGCTTTCATTCTGCAGTGGATTGCCGAAGTGCTTTAACTTGGTGAATATTATTCTATTGCAATTCTCAAACATGCGCAACTGTGTGCAGCTGTAGTTTTCTCGTAGCTGATGTGTGCTGCTCCCCGAAGCACACCTGTACTGCAGACAGGTATGTTGGCATCGTGATATCTAATCTGCCTTGAGGCAGGGGCTTGTTCTTTTTTAGCTTTCTGCAAAAACTACGCACGCCGTACCAGCGAGAGTGCTTACTTAAGAGCTGATGGATTACACTCGTACTTGTAAGTCCTGATGGTTAGCAAAACCTTGTCTCGACACTCAAACCTCTTGAGTCCATTGCACGCCACTCGTATTAACATATTAGTGTATTAACATATAAGTTTTAACTTGTGGAGAAGTTATTTTTGTTTCTTTTACCTGTTTAGTAATAACATGCACTCAGGTGCAGGTGTTTCACAGTGAGACTTTGTTACAGGGACCTGCTTTGAAGAATGGGACACGGTGGAACAGGTTCCCAACAAGTGACCCTACGAACTTCCTATGCCTCAATTCAGGCTACCCCGTTTGCACAAACGAGCCAGTCGTAAAACGCTGTCCAAGCTGAAAAAAAGGAGCCAGCACACCCAAGCCTTCTGTCCTCTTTCACACTTTATTGCGCTTTGCTTCCGATTTTTGATTTGCTCCCTCTTTTGAATTAGGCATGCAGGGTCCCTTCCCACAATTCCTCCCCCTCCTGTCCTTTTTTTAAAGGCTCCCCCTCGGAGCCAAGAGGAAATGAGAGTGTGTAGAATTGGCCCAAAGAGTCTGGTTGCTTCTTGTCTCTGGCTGAGGGCTTGCCATTGTTTCCAGTGGCAATAGCCGCACCATAAAATGCTTTTCTTGGAATGCGGCAGGTTTATTTATGGGGTCACCGCCTCTAACAGTAAATTACAACATGCCTGACAGTTTCAGCTGATAAAGTTGACACGTATGAAGTGTGGTTTTTTGTTATTTCCATTCTTGTGTTTGTCCTGCAGACCCATGCAAACATTCTATGAGTCATAAACGTGTCACATAATTACATTTCAACATTCTGAAAAATACAGGATAAACTTTTTACGTGATGCACCACTGTTGCAACATGCTCTCTTTTTACACCGAATTTGAAAGATATACATGCGGTGGCTTTAAGTTGACAGAGTGTTACAAAGTGTTGGAATAAAAATGCCTTTGAATGTGACACCATGTCGTGCTCACGTTCTCACAGGAATATCTGGATGAGGATTGTTCGTTACTTGAATGCCCTGGGTGGCACTCGGATTAAACAAAAAGTGGTGACATTCAAGTGGTAATACTATTCTCAACGCAGTAAGCCTAATAATTTGGTGTTGATATTTTAGCACACACCAACGTGGTATTGATGTATTTATAAAATGCCATGTATTCTTGAAAACCGTTTGTTTCCTTAAAGAAGCGTTTAGCATTCATAGTTGCAATGTATTATGCATGCCATAAGGTGGCCGTAGGGCTTATGGAGCAACTAGCCACGATTATTCATACATTCTGTTGCCCCTTTGGCTTTTGTAAACTTAAGGAAATACATTTCCATTTAGTCAGTCCATGCCTGTTAATCACCTTAAAGTATCCGACTTATATAGGCTTATAATCCTAATTTTCAAAAGTGTGGGACAAGAGGATAAAATAATCATAATTGATATCAATAAAAATGATATCCTCCAGACTTGAACATACATTAAATGTGTTTAAAACAATGTGACGTAGATTAAATTTCTGACAGGCAGCAATAATCTATTTTAACAAACTACACTAGTATTGAAATGGGAAAACATATACATGTCCATGTATTTGATTAAACGGTTCATAATTGGAACTGGCCAGGTGACTGAGTGGTACGGAAAGTGGGGTCGCAATCGGAATTCAAATCCTGGGTGGGAGTTGACTCAGCCTATCATCCTGCAGGGTCATTAAAATAAGTACCGGTTTGTGGGTAAGTCATCAGTGGTTATCCTATGGATAGACTCGCCCTCCACCGTAGGAATGTGGAATTTCCACCACTGACTTATGCCTGTAAACAGATGGATCAGACTATAATACATCTGATGAGCTATGAAGCTCTTTTTCACAGATGTCCAGCAGGGGTGGGTAAGAACGTTACAACAACAAACAGTACAAAAACATGACAGTAGTACAAAGTCCAAGAAAGGTAAACAAATCACACAAACAAAACTAAACCATCCCCATCCTACCAGGCAAAGCCCCCTCAGGTATTAACTTTTCAGAAGTGATCTGGCCACAAATGATATCTCAACAAAGTGGCCCATCATTTGAACATATATAGCACGACATCACTTAGACTTTTTACTTTGTATTTTTGTAGTACAGAAAAGACAAAACTGGCCGGAGGACAGCTTGTAGCTGACAATGCATAATGTTGAGAACGACTGATGTGGCTGTGTAAAATTTGAGTCCCATGGTACCTATGCACAAATACGTATTGTTGTGAATTGAGATGGGGGGTGTCTTCCACAACAAAATAAGCGCCCACTCCTTGGACTGAGAAGTTGTTTTGTTCCTACATTACAGGGTGGGGGGGGGGGCTGATAAGGAAGCATGAACCTGTGAGCTATTGTACATATAATTCATGTCCATACTATGGGTTTTTGGGGTTAGATCGTGTAAATGTGTCGTTAAACCCGCCGCCACCCGACAGCCAATGAGTAAGGTTTGTCACGTAAATAAAACAAGCCATTTCGTTACTAGTACAGCACACCGGTGTGTTGGAGTAAACCCACAACATTTACAATTCGAGTCCAACGTTTTTACCAGTAATTACAACTAGCATAATCAGGCGACAGCCAGATAATTTATGCTCAGGAAAAAAAACTCCGAAACCAGCATATACAAAACAAATGTTTTCACAACAATTTCAAAGAATCCATGTGTAGAGAAAACCCGCCCCCCATACATTCATTTGTAAATGGAACATAAGAACATTGGCACACCTGTTTTTAGCACAAGGGCAGAGGGGGTTAGTTATCTCGACAGGTCAGAAGGTCATAATCACTTTTGAACTCTGGGTCAAGACAAATGTACCCGCCTCCATCACCATCCCCCACTACCCCAAAGTGTGCGAAAATGCCTCCTCGACTGCTTGTTGTACAATCCAAGGCATATCAACATGGTATCTCAGCTCAATACGCCCATGGTTTTTGAAGCGCCGATGACTGCGTTCAGGTTTTTCTTTTGCTGGGTCAGAAATGTTGAATTCCTTTAGCGCTACGTACACGTCACGTTCGTCTCGATGTACTCGAAAAGATGGTTTGATTTTCCTGTTGCCCTTAAATGTGCCAGGCGTAACACTTTTTTTTCCTCCGGCCAAGCATGCAAGCAAACAGTACGAGGATCCGTGCGAGCGAGCGCGCGTTAGCGAGTGTGAGTGAGTTAGCACGCGCCTTCTCGCTGCCTGCCATAACTCACCCGTAATTGCAGAAGCACGTCCGTTTAATTGACAGCTGGGCGAAATGCCCACTTCCTGGGTCAAAGGTGAATGCCCATTCATCTTGTAGGACATGCTACTCCAAACAAGATCCACCAATAATACAAGGTGTCAATTTAAAAATGTCACGTGACGTGCGAACGTTCATATTCGAGAGCAACTTTGCGCACCGCCTGCCGATACTGATTTGTTCAGTGAACATCGGTGAAGCAATATCCACCACCAATCTTTGACCTGCCAGTATTTGACAACACAATCCACACTGTAAAGTGTGGGTGGTGTTGTAAAATGTGAAATTCCTGCTTTATCTAAGAAAGGTAAATACGACAGTTTCTTGGCATGCTTTATTTCTCAGGTTGTTAAATCGATGTCAGGATTGCCTTATTGATGGCAGTCTTATCCAGCAAGTGCAATTCAGAGAGGGTCAAAACACGATATGTAAATACATCCAAGAGGATGGCCGACATGGCCATCATTCGTCGTGGATTTTTTTTCGAAGCAGAGACATTTTTTTTACTTGGCCACACCGTGGAGGCATTGCGTTCATGGTGTGAAACTCGAGTGAAAGAGGTCCTCTAAAGGTCAAGAGTGCGAATCGCCCACCCTAAATGCCAGGCGTGTGCCCACGTGCGTGCGAGCGAGCACAAGTGGGGGTGCATTCGGTGTGTTCTCATGGGGAGAGAGGGTGAATGGGCAGGAGGGTGAACAGTGGAGAGAGGCTTTGTATTAGTATCTGCAGACAGGTGCATTGTCTCGGCCAGCTGTTAATGGTGTACATGACAATAGCTTCAGAGACCCTTTGTGGCCTCTCATTCCCTTTTAACTCCTTGTTGGAGAGCACATTGAATGTGAAAACAAACACACAACTTCCTTTTCCTACCTCGCGACTGCAGCGGTGAACGACTGAAAGCTTCGCGGCTCGTTTGTATCTGCGGACATGTCCGATGGCATCGCTTCATTCATATTGCGGGCACCATTGAATGCTCTTCGTCACGTCTACCTACGTTCGTGATTGCGTGATGGCCACAATGCAGCTATTGTCTGGCCATTTATTACATATATATTCTATATCCGCACGTCCGATTAGCACGGCTGGCTACGTGCCGTGCGAAAGAAGTTCAGCATAAGCACAGACAGACAATGTAGTCGTTAAGCTGTGTTGCTATGAGAACCACCCAGACATCAAATTGTGTCGCCTAAATTTTTTTGTTTTTTTTATTTGTCCACACACCTCTGTGTGCTGTCCCCCCCTCCCCCCCCGTGTGCTGTCCACACATTGTGCCCCGCGATGTTGGAGCCAGTGGCGCTGTGAATCCGGCGGACCGACCGGCACCCGGCCACGGCTCAGGCATCAGTGGCGAGTCCTGAGCCCTGGGCGCTGCGACGTTCCCTGTCACCGAGACGCTCCTGCCGGCATGCTGAGGTTTGGTGTAAACAAGAGCAGTGTCGGGAAGGCCGTTATCCAATAGTGGACTCACAAAGGTTTCATTATTATTATGTATCGTTATATTAGAGCAGCGATGGAAAACTCAATGTCTCAGATGGTAAGACAGAACCCATTTGAATACATATGTGGAGTGCTATTGGCAATAACATCTGGTAATCCATCTGGTAATCCCACAGTTTCAGAGTTTACTTCAGAATCAGAAATATTTACTTATACTGGAGGAATCCGATGAGCTATCACGCTCTTTTTCACAGATGTCCAGTCGGGGCGGACAAGAACGTTACAGCTTTGCTTGCTTGCTTAAACAAATGACGCTTGATGATATTGGTCTGGAAGGTCAATAAGCCAATGTGCTCAAGAATGTTATTTTGTATGTATATGTGGAGACACACAGCGCTCCTCCTCTCCGCTTGCTTCACCCACGTAATGCTGCACGACAACGCGTAATGAGTTTGTGTATCGCCGCAACAGAGCCCTTCCACGCCACCAGCCAACAAAACAATGTAATGCTCGTCAACATTGCAAGTGAACGGCAGCTTGCGTGGAAAGACGGGCTGGTCACATCTGCCATGAGGCTTGACGTTGCCAATCGCTGTGTGCAAACCAATCACTCGTCGCTTTGGAGCGTGTTTGGTTGAAGCGTGTAGAGGCGGTAACCCTGTTCTGTCTCCACATTGAGCAAAAAACAATAACATTTTTTTAGGTCGAACGCCACGCGGAGTTGGCTTGCTTAAATGAATGCCTCTGAATAATATTCGTCTGGAAAGTCGATAGGCTGATGGACGAAACACGCTGTCGTTCACATGGAGAGAGACACAAACGTAAAGTTATGCCCATATATGCTTTTACTAATCACCGATCGCCTCGGGAGAAATCTGAGAAAACCAAACCAGCCGTGTGTATGGAGCCCCCTCCATATCACGGGCATCATCCACGTGGCAGCCAGTGGTGGCGGTGTCGCTAACCCCAAGCTGCAGTGTGTGTGTGTACAGTGAAGAGCCCCTTGAGGCTAGCTCGGGCGGATTGTACTCGTCTCCCGGAGGATCAAAGGTGGCTGGCACCGTTGCTATCTGCGAGCAAACCTTTCGCTCGGTCCACACCCTTTGAAATGCACTGCCGCGACAATAAGATGGTGGGGGCAACCTCTGCACATCAAACACACGACCTCTATCAGATCCCAACCTTGCTTGAAAGGAGGCACGAACTGTTCACCCTTTAGGAGGGACACGGGAATTCACCCACCGACCCCCTCTCCTCCTAAACCCTGCCCTCCCAATCTGTGACAATGCTCGAAGAGAAAGAGAGTGGGCAAACATACAAGTGAGCTTCAGACAGGATGACCTCTTGTTGGCATGCCCCTTTAAACAAGTGGCCTTTTCTCCCCCCTTACCATCCTCATTATTATTTGTATCAGTTATCTATCGCGCCATCTATCTAATTGTCGAGGCTATTGTATTGTTTAGAACGTAAATAATAATCGCGTAAGTCAAGTGTTTTTTTCCCCCCCCCCCCTGCCCTTCTTGTTCTTGCCACCGTTACTATATTTATCAGTTATCTCTAGCTACATCTATCTAATTATCTAGCATATTGCATTGTTGAGAACGTAATTAATAATCACGTAAGTGAACGGCTAGTTGTGCCCGTCTGTAGCAGAAGTGTGCGATAGATTGACAAGTGGATGCACTTTAAAAGAGCAATCTTCTAAGCAGCGGTGTACATTTCACTTAATTAGTCTCTTACAACGCAGTGGAATGTGTAATCCTATCAGGACAATGGCCAAAACACAGGTGGGATGTTTACATGGCATGAGACTCTCATTTGGTTTCACTCATAGTTGTTTCTCAGTCCACTGCTGGATGAAGGCCTCCCCAAGCTCTATGGTTCTTTCGGTAAAGTCACGGAGGTAAAAATAAAAAAAATAATGAAAATAAAACATAATAAAATAAAATTCTCACGACGTTTCGGCCACAACACAAGTAGCCTTCCTCAGGTGAAGAAACAGGAGAAGAAACAGAACTGTCTTTCCGACAGTTCTGTTTCTTCACCTGAGCAAGGCTACTTGTGTTGTGGCCGAAACGTCGTGAGAATTTAATTGTTTAATTTTAATTATTTTATTATTTCCCTTCGACGTGACTTTACCGAAGAACCAAGAAGATGAATCCCTGCAGTCACGAAAGCTTTAAATCGAAAAATAAAAAATAAAGTTAATCAAATCACGACGTTTCGGAGGCAACACAAGCTTCCATCATCAAGTGTAACTAGCACAGCTAAATGACTGTAAAAAAAGTATGGATCATTGCAGTCACGAAAACTTAAAATCTAGAACCTCCCAAAGCTGTTGATCTTGGGGGTTTGACCAATTTTCACGATTGTGAGTGAGCAGGGCCCACGACTGTCTCTGCTATAATTTGCCACTGAATTGATCCACAGCCACAAAATCAAACTCTGGACGCTAGGTTGATAGCGCGGTGTGGCAACAATTCAAGTGATGTCTTGCTCAAGTAATAATTGAGGTAGTGCTCATCCAATGTTTACAGTCCTGAGCCAGTGTTGGAAGTTCCACGTTCTTTTGGCTGTCTGTGACAAAACTATCCACAGATTAATCACATCCCGGTTAGATAATCGGCTGAGTCAACCCGTGGGTCTCAGTATATCGCAGTAAATGTTGCTATAATTAAGATGGATTTCCTGATATATAATTTCAACTGAGGTATGTGATTCAACCGGGATGTACAATTACTGTTGTCAAGGAGTAAATACAAACATGGTAATTATGCAAATTAGAGTCACTTTATTTTTAAGAACTCTGCAATACAGAACATACAATTAAAGATTTGCAATGCACTTTTCAAATTCATATCACAAAGACGGCAGTAAAAGTTGATGAACTCCACAGTAAGCAGAGCCAAACAGTTGACAGCCAGTCAATTCTTCACGTAGCCTAGTTAATTCGCACAGTAATGAATGGCATATTTGGTGGGACGCTGCTAGGGCACACTTTGGAGGTCACGTGTCTGCTGTGCAGCAGCTGTGGGATCTGGCAGAGGGTTTTGTATGCATGTTGAACTTCTTTTGTACCGTAGGCAGCCAACCGCGCTAATCAGAGGTGCAGGGGAAGTACAACAAACTAAACACAAACATCAGTTCTAAAGAAATGCGTCTTCAATCTAGATTTAAAAGTGCACAGCTCCCAGCGGCTTCCTAATATCGGAAGGAAGAGCGTTCCAGACGGCCGCAGAAGCACGTCTGAAAGCGCGCGATGCGGTGACCACCGTCTTTGTTCGATGGCGAGCCAAAAGCCACCGCTGGTGCTGTGAGGATGACCACCGGAGTTCGCGTGGTGGTGGTGGTTTATGCTCCATGACGAGACCAGCAAAGCGATGATGAAACGTGGTGGCGTCAACAACGCCCTCAATCCACGATGACTTCTCGATCTTGATGTTTTTTTTTTTCACTCAACGAAGCACCTCACGTCCACATTGATATCGGGGAGCGTGATTGTTGGCAGATCCTCTTTATCCGTGCTTAGCTTGCAAAAGTAATTCCTCATACACGGCGGTTACCGACAGGTAAACTGTTATAATCGGATGAATTCGGCACTGGGCGAAGGCCATTTCCTGGTGCTGAAGACGCAATAGTATCAATTTGTAGTGCGACTCCTCTCATACCTGGAATTGCGGATAATAGGATGAATTAAGTACCGACAGCGATCGCTTTTGGGTTCATCTCTTTTTTGCAGACCGTTGTCGAAGGCCTACCCCGCACACTGTCTCGGTAATGGGGGTTTGTGTGACCGTACTTAACACCGCTCGGTGAGACATTGGCGAAGCAGTTGCTTGCTGTCGCCAGAAATCGCTGCTTAGCCATGGGTAAATGTGCATAATAGAATCAATGTGTCGTTCAACTGCTCTTATCCACGCGAAAAAACAACACGTGAATAGTATAACTTTTCGCGGTTAAATTAGTGGCTGCAGATATGACGTTTCACCGAATATTATGACGCAATGTCGCACCTCCGATTAGCACGGTTGGCTACGTACGGTGTGAAAGAAGTTGAGCGTACACAATTGACTAAACCTCCGACGCCTGGCATATATATTCTCAAGTTCTTTTAACTCACTGCCCCGCGCCCTACGAGACATGTGTGGAGAAAAAAAAAGAAGAGCTTCACAGCCCATCGGGTTCCTCCCACAGTCTAAATAACGATTCTGAGATCCTGCCTCAGGAGTAGCCACAGCTTGCTCACATCCGTGCAGCTGAACAATAGGAACCTCAAAAGTGGTCCTAATTTGGGGGGGGGGGCGAGGGTTCGGGTGGTATTTGGGGGGGGAGGGGGGATGTGGTGTGGTGGTGCGGGGGGGGGGGGGGAACTGGTTAATGATCCCCGCCGGACTCAAAGAATAGGAAGTGCGGTGATGGGGGTGTCCTTGTTTGTTGCCTTGTGGGGGGAGTGAAGAGGGGGGTCATAAAATGTGTTTGCTGGAAGTTGTGTGCGTGTGTGTTTACGCAGCGCATCTTTGTAGTATATGTGTGTGTGTGTGTGGATGCGCCTTTGTATACACCGTGTCTGTGCGTTACATCGGTACAGATGGAAGAACCGTCCCACATGGTTTCGTTATTGTAGATTCGGTAGTTGGGGTTTGAGTGGTGGGTGGTGCAGTGGCTAGCGGCCTGCGCTACGAATTCGGGTACCTGAATTCGACTCCCGATCATGGCTAACATCAGTGGCGGGCGATCTCTTATCTAGTTCTGTGCCTGTCCTGCACCAACCTGCGTTTACCAGCGGGGTGAAGTATGGCCAGTAAACTCCCATGGCCGACACAGCATGTGAAGACCTTCACCCAACAGTGTCATTTACAAAGGGCTATACAATACACTGCAGATTTGGCAACACCTATTGATCGTCGAGTTGGTTTAGTTATTAGATGTGGAGGTACCCATGAGTGGTGCATCTGATGGTTTAGGGGATATAGTCGTGTGGGTTTTCTCCTGGCACTCAGGACATTTGCCAACCATCTTTGCGGCACAGAAAAGGAATCTCTCCTCGGTGCACATCTGATGTCCATCATGCTACTTACACAGATCGTATTGTGTTCGTTGTCTTGCATCTGTTGCTGCTGTGCAGCTGAACGCGATCGTTCTCATGCAACATCAAAATAAACTGAATCTTTTAACTTGGTGGGCGGGGGTTGTCTGGATTGCATTAGAGAGCCGCTTCAGTTTCGATGTTGTGACCAAGAGTGAAGCTGTTAACGCATGGATGTCGGTCTTCGTGGACGCGCGTTTTTTTCTGAATTAAAGTTTAGATGAATGTTTGTTATTATGCACCTGAGTGTGTGGCTGACTGCGTACGAGTCGAGGGTATTTGTTTTAACAAGGTGAGAACGCACGAGACCAGGATAGTCTCATGTTCAGGATTTACCTGGCTTACTTGTGCAACGGTTGAATTTCAGATTTTAAGTAACTGCTTTAGAATTTTTAGTATTTTTGCAGGACAATTTCAGATATTTTGGGGATTTTCAGGAAATGTCGACTATCTCCCGCACATAATTAGTCGCCACTATGGAGACAAAGGCGGCCGGGCGTGGTGTGGGCCACCCACTCCCTCGTGTTCCGTGCCGGCCTTTATAGGTGCTCGCTAACAGCACTTGCCCTTACAGTCTGTTAAGGCTGTACAGGGGATCTTTGTGTGTGAGTGCCGGCCTTCATAGGTGCTCGCGAACATCACTTGCTCCTACAGTCTATTACAGGCTATACGGATGATCTTTGTCTTTGGAGCGATGCCACAGGGGTTTGCCTGCTACTTGAGTTCGATCCAGAGTCAGAGCTCACAGCAGGCGCGGTACCAGAAATTATCCAGGGCGTTCCCTGGCTAAGCCCAGGCTTCAATGATTACACGTCGCAGTGTCTAAACCTCGGCACAGGGGAGACAAGGCGGGCGCGTGTGGTGGGTTGGCCATATCGACCTTAATAGGTACTCGCTAACAGCACTTGTCCTCACGGTATGTTGGCTCTGGCGGTCGGGGGGACGGGGAAATGGGTGAGGGGGGGGGAGGGAGATCTTTATGTGTGTGTGTGCATGTGCGGTGGGTGAATGAGGTTCGGGTGATGGTGTTAATTACTAATCTTTTACATCAGAGCCAAGGCGCACACAAAGCCATGCCAATGCTCAGTGCAGGGGGAACTGAACGGTCTTTGTGTTGGGAGAAGGTGGGAGCCACAGTGGCCTGGGAACTCAAAATAATCACGTCTTTGCGAGTGACGCAACAAGCGCATGCAAACGAGGAGGAACCCGCCCAAACCTCGCATCTTCCCACTGCAACGTTGCATCTGCACTTCTTTGGTCGACTTCACGTTTTTGTTTGTTTGTTAATATCAATATCCTTCCGCCCTGCAGGGGTAACCCCCTTGAAATGGTGGGGGCGGGGGGGCAAAGACAAACTCCAGAGAGCAGCACAGACCGGTGTTAAAGTAACTCTCAACAAGTTTTAACGCGAAGCAACATTTAGTAACAATGTTCTGTTCCAACACGCATTCTCATGGAAAGTCCACATTCCTCAGGCGGGGGCGAGTTTATCCGAAGGACGGCCACTGTTGACATCCCCCGCTAATTGCTTCCTCGTTTTATCTACCCCGGTGGGATGATGGGCTGGGTCAACCCCCCAACTAGGATATAAACTCGTAACATTCTGATTACGAGCTGCTCACTTGACCGCCTAGCCACGTGGCCACAAATGTTTTCTCTCCTGGCTTGGCTTGTACGAGTTTATACAAAACGTGACATTTCAGTGTTTACGTTGCATTTCAGATATAATTTTTAAAGTCTAGCAAACCGGCTACTTGCTTGTCCTGGTTGGCTGGGTCCTCTGCACATTATGCTTGAATGGTCAAACATTATTTCGACAGGCAATTTTGTAATTATTTGCTATCAGTGATTACAATGGCTTAGATTTAGTGTAAGGATGGTCTAAATGAATATTTAAAAAATCATTATTACAAATGTTAATGCGTCGTTACCTTCACCCGTGACCGCCCTCAGATGTCTTCTTGTGAGGCCAGAGTATCACGGTTTGGTTTTGGCTCCGTCTCGTCAAATAGCCGATGGGAAGCCCCCAATACCATTTGGTGCCCTGCCATGGCGCGGCTCGAGTGTGGCAGTGCAAAAAGAGGTATACTGTACCAGGTTTTGTTTTTAACACGTAGGCTTTCGCGACCAGTATTGTTCATAATTAAGGTTTTTGGGTTAGATCGCGTTATATGCGACACATTTATAAATAACGCGATCTAACCCAAAAAAAAACATTTCATATGAATATACCAGTTTTTTTTTTACAACCACATGTAAATTGAACAATGTCAAACGGAGGGTAATTGTTTGGTTGGCTGTGAAATGCTGGACCCTGGCCCGGGCTAAAACACGAGGCTTGAACACAACCCATTAGGTTCGTACCACGTGTTTGGCCTTTCATTGCAAAAAAAAAGAAAAACTTCCTTGGACCAACCTCAAGAGCCTTTGTCTGCAATAGCTCGCTCACAGTTTCTATCGAAGCGCCCCCTTCTCTCTCACCCATTGGAAGGGCAACAACACGGTGGGGGGAGGTGAACCTACGACTGCATGGCTGGTTGGATTTGGCCGCTCTCAGCTGCGACTCGGCATTGTAGCGTTCCACCTTACCCTGAATTTCCACAATTCCGATTGGATTCAATCGATTTATATTAACGATGCCGTGATTGTAGCACCGTCAGTGGACGTGAGGTCACGTGAATAGATTCCACGATAATTTGGCCGGATTTCATGATATCACGAAAGCTGAGCAGGATTTGGGTGCGGTTAGTACTTGAATGGGTGATTGCTGGGGCTTGCCAGGTGTTGCAGGATCTGCGAGGTCTGACCAGCAGATGGCGGTGTTGAGTGTCACCCACTTCGTGTGCCTCGCATTGCGATTTCCTTCAACACGAAGCCAAACAGTGCCACAATGACGTTGGCCCAATGTCCCAGTCGATGACCTTTCTGGAGAAGAGTCTTAAGACTCAGAGATGCTTAGCTGGGTAAATAATTTAATTACGATATATATGAATTCATAATTGATTCCCACACGCACGATTCGACGTATGTATCGTGTCATGGATCAATGCATCATTACTTGCCCAGCTATTACGCAGCGGTGGAATGTTTGTAAGTAGTAATTCATCACAACCTTCGAAACACCAACTAACGCTGACCCAAAACTATCGTTTGTACCACCAACGGTTGCTGTGAGTATTGTATAAATTATAATTGAAATAACATAAATATACATTTGAAGAACACAACGCAGAAAGTGAATGGAGCTCACATTGGGGTGCTCCTCATGTCCTAAAGGTGCAGATAAAGGTGAAGATGTGGCCCTGCGATCGCCCACTCGTGCCACGGTGGGCAGAGTGGCCTCCAACTGGAGCACCTCCAGCCAGCGGCGAGAGTATCCCCAACGCTTCACCTCACCGACCGCGAAGCTGCCGATGGACTTAGATCGCGCTCCGCGAATCCGTCGCCCCTTGCGTCGCCCGCCGGCTTCACGGCCGCGCCGCCGCCTCTGCCTCCGCGTGGTTCTTGCATTCACAGTGGCAGCTCGTGGGCAGCTCCACGTGGGGCGACAGCGACGGCGACGACGACGATGGTGACGACGACGAGGAGGAAGAGGAGGAGGAGCACAGCGTGGAAGACGAACACGGCGTCTCACTCTTCTTTTGCTTGACGCGTCGGTTCTGGAACCAGATTTTGACCTGCGGAGAGATGGCCACCGCAGAATCGAACTCAGTTTTCCAGGATTATAGCGCAGTGCGCTCAACAACGCTCCACCAACATCCAGTTTAACTTTATTGAGAATACATTGCTTTTTGTTCACAAAGGCTTTGCAAATTCTTCGTACATTCACCATAATGCTTAAATGCTTATCTTGGAATATTTTCAACATTTTTTTTAAACATCGCAAATGGAATGTAACCACGTGACAGAGGGAATTTGTGAGAGTGAATCCAATGCGGGTTTGCTGAGTGCATGGCGAATGCGCTGATCACTGGACCACGGCCCCACCTCACCAGACAATAAAACTTATAGACAATAAAACTTATAGACAATGCAAATGAGACAGATAACAATGAAAATATATTACCATCAAGACCAGAATTAAGTATCAGATGTATATTCTTAGCTGTTTCGGTAAAGTCACGTTGAAGGGAAACAATAAAATATATATAAAACAATAAAAATTCTCACGACGTTTCGACCATAACACAAACGGTCGTCATCAGGTGTGTTATGGTCGAAACGTCGTGAGAATTTTTATTGTTTTTTATATATATTGTATTGTTTCCCTTCAACGTGACTTTACCGAAAGAGCTAAGAATATGAATTACTGCAGTCACGAAAGCTTTAAATCAAAATATCAGATGTATGTTGAACCTCTTTCGCACCGTACGTAGCCGACCATGCTAATCAAATCGCACTTTGTTGCACTCCCAAACTCCCCCCACCTTCTTCCCCACAGTCACGTGAATTAATCCCATCATGGGGGTTGAGGGGTGGGTGACGAGGTTTGGTACATGCCCAGTCATTAGTGGCCTAATCCCCGCTCAATAGAGGGAGAGAGAGAGGGACCCACAACCTAAATTGGTGAGCGCACCGGGCACACGGCACAAATATTTACTCATTACCTCCTGCCTGTAATAACACGGCAATTCACTACAGCCCAGCCAGCCAGCCAGGTGATCGCACCAAGAAAAGGAGGCTGATAACGCGAGGCCAGTGTCGGGCGCGAAGTGAAAATGACAAGTAACAGCATTCGCATGCATTCATACGTACTTACACGTATGCATTATTATTTTAAACACCAACTAACGAGAACCCAAAGCTATTGTTTGTGAGTATCGTATCAATTATTATTTAAATGTATATATTTTTTTATAAGAACTCAACACAGAAAGTGAATGGAGCTCACATTGGGGTGCTCCTAATGTCCTAAAGGTGCAGATAAATGTGAAGGTGCGGCCCTGGAGTTGCCCGCTCGCTCGCTCGCCCCACGTCGGGCACAGCGGCCTCCAACTTTGAGCCCCTTTCGGGGTTATGAACCCGGCGACTTGAATTTGATTTCTGGCCACGGCTAACATTGGTGGCGTGTGACTTCTGAACCACGTGTGGGCTGCCCCCTTCACCAGACCTGCAATAACCAACGGAGTGAATTGTGGGGCACACAACCCCCATGGCTGACAATGGGATAGGAGTCCTTAACTAAGCAGAGGATTGTCGTAAGGCTTTAAATGAGTATTATTTATACTGTCTGGGCTATATTTGTCTCGTTCTGTCATGTTCCAATCATTGGGTTTAAATCAAACATTTGCATGATTCTCAAATATTCCAGTCGATTCTTACCTGCACAATTCGCTGCATCTATCGTGGGTTTTAGAATCGATGATAATCCGTGACTGCGAATTGTCACGTGCCTGCTGCTGCTGGTGCTGGTGCTGTGATAATGTGGGTCCGATGGTGTGGGGTGATTTCAACACAATGTATTTCTTTCTCTATAAACTCGGGTAATCTCCATGAATCCACTTACTTTGTAAATAATTACTTCATTTAGATGTGGCTTTGGAATGAGACCAACATTATTTCAGAGAAAATGAAAAAAAAAACGGTACAAGAACTTCAACTGAATCGGAGAAGAGCGTCTGTAAGTAGAGCACTGCTCTGTCGGGCGACCTGAGTTCAGAATCGGAATATTTATTTATACTGGAGAAATCCGAGGAGCTATGAAGCTCTTTTTTCACAGATGTCCAGTAGGGGCTGGTAAGAACGTTACAATAACAAGCAGTTACAAAAACATGATCGTAGTGCAAAGTGCAATTAAGGTAAACAAATCACCCAGACACATACAAATACAACACTCAACCATCCACATCCTACCAGGCAAAGCCCACTGAGGTATTACATTCAATGGAGGGACATTTCGAGAGAGGAAGAGGAGAGGGTGGGAATGTTGAGAATAGGAGAGCAGAGGAGAGGGCGGGAGAGGGGAGGGTGGAACAGGAGAGGATCGGCTTGGGGAGAAGTGGGGCGAGTACAGAAAAGGGGAGGGAGGAGTAGAGAGGAGATGGTGGCAGAGGATATTAGAGCGGAGGGGTGTAAAGAGAGGTGATGAGAAAAGGAGATGACAGGCGAGGAGAGGGTGAGAGGGGGCGGGGGGGGAGGAGGAGAGGGCTGGAGATGAGAGGGTTGTATCTACCGTATGTTTGAACTTCTTTCGCACCGTACGTAACCAACCCTGCTAATCGGAGGCGCGGGGAAAGGTTGGAGAGGAGAGCAGAGAATGTGGGAGGGGGTGAGAGAGCTGCACCTGTTTCTCGGAGAGGCGCAGGCGAGCGGCCACGTGGATTCGTCGCAGTCGGGACAGGTATCGGCTGGCTGAAAACTCTCGCTCCAGAGCCAAGAGCTGCCCGCTGCTGAACGCGGTGCGTGCTCGCTTCTCGGCACCTGTGGGCAGGTGTGCCCCTTGGGGCAGTGAGGGGCAGTCAGGAGCAGCCTATGGAACTGAGACGCGACCACAACTGACCCAATCCTTAATGGGGCCGACACCTTGTTAAGTACAGTATGCCCTCGTTATTCGCGAGGGTTACGTTTCGGAGATGCTCGTGAATAGCAAATTTCACGGATAATGATATTTGCCTCAATGAATGACCTTAATAAATACGTAAATAAGCTGTGGAAATACACAAATTATCTCATTACTTTATCTCGTCACTTTCTCGCATCACATTCTCTCTCATGTCTTTATCTCGTCATGTTCTCTCTCTCTCTCGATGCAGTCGTGGAGTGTTCCAGATGCGATTCGCTGATAGCCAAAATCGCGGATGACGAGTTCGTGAAAAACGAGGAAATACTGTAAATTGAATAGGCTTGAGCAGGACACGTCGCTATAGAAGTGATGATGGCCGTTAGTCAAGAACAAAACTAAACTTTTTTTTATTTTATTTCACCAGGTAATGCCCACCGAGCTATTTTGATCTTTCTCAGAAGCGACCTGGTCACAGATGATAGCTCAATGAGGTGGCTTATCACGTGGCTTATCATGTGGAAATTTATAACAGCCATATACTCTAAACGTGGAGGGAAAAACCGGAGGCCCCGGATAAAAATCTACGCGATCACAGGGAGAGAGACACTCAAACTCCAAATATACAGCAGGCGTCAGGGTCGGGATCGAACCCACGACCTCCTGCATACCAGGCGAGATAGTTAACATCTCGCCACCGTGGCACCCTGACAGTGGAAGCTAACCTCTCCCCTGAGTGTATCCCCCCTTCCTTTATACTCCAGTGCTGTGACATCATACGTCCTGGAATTGATAACTCAATTTTCAGGGTATTTATTGGAAAAAGTGTGATGCGAAAACCTGATGCCATGCATAGCCTACCAGCAGTTACTAATAATTATTTATCTCTAGGTGTGACTGAAGATGTGCATTTTGACGATGTTCTAAAAGGGATAGAAATCTGGAAATTGGCACAAATATAGTCAAGTCTCTGCTTATGCTGTAACTAGAAAAATTCCCAAAACAACTTCAGGATTTTGAAGTTGGGCCTCCAATAATTGTTGTGTCCGAGACGTTCATTGGTTTCACCCTGCGTGCAGGTTCACTGAAAAGTTCTAAATCTCTTTAATTTCTCACGCTACAAAAGGTGCAAATGTCTGGGGTGGTGACGCGGTCTAGCGTGAGCCGCTCGTTGCAGAGGTTCACGGTTCGAATCCAGCGGCCGTCCTGGTTATTACTGCGGTATGTCATAACCATAATAATACTATGCTCCATCTGCTACACTCACGTGGAAGATAAGCTGACGTCATTCACAATAGCTGTCCATTGTGTGCCGGCGTCACAGTCCAAATTTGCCAAATTTATAAATTACCGACAAATTACTCAATTGGGATTATACATAGCAATCATCGCCCCCCTCCCCACCAGATTAATGCCCCAGGTTACTCTTGGACATGGTTGAAAATTGAACTCCTATGGAGTGTGCTGCCAAAGATGATAGAATACTGTAGGTGTGTGCATGATGTCTATAAATCGGTGTGCGTTTTAAACTGGAAATACAAGGCTGCCTGCGCACGGCAAATCGTTTCTGGGGAGCGACCCAAATCGGAAGCAACGCTTTGGCTGTAGAGGGGCCCATGAAAGCATTAACGTGGTGGCTCCGTTTCTAAAGGAGGTGCCCACCCACGCTTGCTCGGAGCAAGAGAGCTTTGATGTGATGGTATGCTCGTGCGCCCCGGTGCGAACTTAACGAGCGTCACCTCTTGTTGTAGGCATGTCGAAGTAAATTACGACACGGGGGTGGCCTGGTGGCTCAGGGTCATTCACACGTCAGAGGCACTGAGCCACCACCGCTGAGAGCCTGGGTTCAATTCCGGGTTTTTTTTTGCCATCATTGATTGAACCGGTGTTCCAATTGCAGTGTGTTGATGATCGCAGCCTTGTCATTGTGTTTTTGTTTTGTTTACATGATGCTTATAAAATATTTGGATAAATTTCAATGCGATTAACACACTTAGCAAGGCATGTGAGAAGGTGCAGCTCCACCTCATGTGCGTGGAAGGTAATCGAAGGGAAGCAGCTCCCTAACATCACCTTCCAAGAGCCGTTCTCTGACACTGGGTGACGTCACACTGCTGAGTTCCACGTGGAAGGGTCTCGATTGCATAACATGTGGCCAATAAAAAAAATTGGATTTTA